TATCTACTAAACGGAGTTGTCTCACACAATAAAATTACATTTTTGCCAGTTCACACACGGACTCTTTTATCTTTATGAGTCTAGGGCACGTCCAGAAAAGGCGTAAGGATTGCACTTCTCGTGTTCGGCTCGCACGCTTTTTATTATTGTTCGTAACACTTCACTGCCACATAATTTAGCACTCCTTTTTATTTTGAAATTTGTTTCACGGTTACCATAGCGATCGGTTTTAAATGATTATATACGATATGTTCGAAAACATTAACGTTGATTTAGATCGTATACACAGTATAATAGTAATATTTAAAAAAAATGACGAATAAGGATAAAAATATGATATTCCATTCACATATTTAATACTAATTAGAAAAATTAATTATAATAACATACATAAATTATCTAAAAGAAAGAGGGAACAAGCATGTGATTTGTCAAAACCTAACCATATTCTACATTCTAAGCCAAAAAGTCCCTTCATATATTCAATTCTCATTTCACTCCTTATTCATTCACAAAACGACTTTTATAGTGGGTGATGATTTGTGATTCCTTCCCGATTTGTGCAAATATATGTCTGTGTCAAGTTTTATGTTTAGATTTTAACACCCGTTAAGCTCTTGATGATTTTCACCACATGACTTATCCTCAGAGCCAAGTAAACTTGTTAACATACAAATAAAGAACAGGCAATTAAAAAAAAAAACGATTTTATTCTCGTGGACTTAGTATATCCAAGAGTCAAATGGTTTCCAAAGAACTGTACGGAAATATCGTAATTTAATTTCTACTGTGTAAACATAGTGTAAAAGGCACATACGAAGTTGTCCACTGTGGTACAACTCTGTAAAAGTCATTTCGCTACATTTGGGAGGATTCCGCATAGCTCTCGAAAATATTGTAAAAAATTGGTAAATAGGAAGTTTATTATTAAGTTACTATCTTTATGTTGTCAAAGAGTACATAACGGAATCAAATTTGTTGAAAACCGGCGGTTAAATAATTTTTATTGAAGGATAATAACAAATGCAAATTTCACAATTCACGGACGGGTAGAAATATAGGGAATAGAAAAACAATTTGGCGAACAAAGAAATTGGGATAACGTTGAATGGAGAAGTGGCGAAGAGAAGATAAAAAGGGAAAGCAACAAAAGCGGTGAACACGGTTTTCATTGCATTGCAAGGAAAATATATGTATGTGCAGCAAATATAAATGAACCGAAATTGAAATCGGCATAGCCAAGTGTTCGTAAACTTCAGTAGTTGTCTATTTAATGCGAATAAGGTTCGGAAGGGGTAGGTAATGGTGATTTAAACGTCGCATTTAAAGAACAATTTCTAAGGTGCAGGGAAGAACGGTCAGTTTGATTTTGCCGCTTTGAAAACAGCATACATAAATATAATTTATTTCTTACAATCTAATATAATTAAACCACTTGTGCAATATTAGTTCCAAATTAACATCGTAAACTCTCTATATTACCAAGCAAATAATCTAAATGTACCATGTTTATATGTTATATAGTTGCAGCGAACAAATAAGTGCTCACAGAGGGACCTAAACAATTAATGAATTAATGCATTGAATCAAATAGTCGGGAAGCAAAAGAAAATAACAAAAAAGTTCGATCACTGATCTATAATATTCGGGGATTTCTTCAGTTTACACCTGAACTCATTAAATTTAAAGTTCAGTGAATATCTTCTGTCGCTGATACTATGGCTGATCCTGAGAAGCAGAGCTTGATTAACAATGAGGAGCCCAATAATACGTATTCTACAGGGCAGCCCAGTGCTGTGGTAGGCAGTGTTGGAGGCGGCGAGGCAGGTGCGTCAGATGCGGCAGGTGCGGCTGTTATTGCAGGAGCAAATCCGACTGAAGGTAATATGTTCAAATCTAACAGACAATTATGAATCTAGCGTGCTATTAAGTTCATTAAACCCGGCACTGTCACATGGTTGGCATTTGATGCTGCACACATCCACAATTCCTAAATGAACTGTAAATGAAGCAACCACAATGCAGTAATAGAAACCGTATAAGTGTACTTAATAAAAGCAGGGGCGTGGGTGCTTTGCAGATCTTTTACGGTTTTCGCGATTGTATGAAGTGGTTAAAAGTATATATTAATCTCTTGTAAAACATATGTATGTAAATCACAGATTACCATAGCACTCCAGTGCATAGAGTATAACAGAAAACACTTCATTTAAGCAGCATTCGAATTCGATGTGTGATTGTAACTTTTATTCCCCATTGTATATACCCACATATCACTTTCTTGTGGCCCTTCTTAAAGCGAGGTGACTCACACGTAATGTCTTGGGGAGAAACAGCTGTTGTCTTGCGATATGTTATCAAATTATTTAGCTTATATGTATATACATACATATGTAATCCTTATCCCTGCAGCATGTATGTATATAATCCCGAACGGTTCATCTGTTATTGTTGGTTGTATAAGAACTAAAGCCTCATATAATATGTTATTATGTGTTTGCGCATTTTTCTAATAATACACATTTAATAATGCGTATGTAATTGTGAACGCAAGTTGAAAGAAACCCGCTCTTTGAAGCATAAGATAGTGTATCACTTAACATTGACATAGATCTCTATCTGTCTACCAACTAGATTTTAGTGAAGAAGAATCATTCATTTGATGCAATCTGTTTAGATTCGCACATTCATCCGCTTTTATTTCTGCGGTTTGAATTTGCCTTGCTTTTCATTAACTCAATGCTTTCCCATAAGTCTCATCCGACATGTATATATTCTACAGAAAAGGTTTAATTTACTGTTCAAAAGAGCTCCCAACATATTTAATTAGTTGTTTTATATAAAAATGTCTTCAATAATTTTTAGGCGGTGTTTCCCAGGCAAATGTTCCGTTTGTGGGTCCCGATGAATTGCCACCGCCTTATCAGGCAAATACTGGAACTGGTGTACCAATGGTTACATGCAGGGTGTGCCAAAACATGATCGATATTACACTGAAAAGAGATCAGCATGTAGTGAAGTGCACCCACTGCAATGAGGCCACTGTAAGTACCAAACCCGTTCGAAAAACCGTTAACAAACATTTCACAATGCAATTAATATCTTTGTAGCCAATACGTAATGCCCCTCCTGGCAAGAAGTATGTGCGTTGTCCATGTAACTGTCTGCTGATTTGTAAAAGTTCGTCGCAGCGCATAGCTTGTCCTCGACCTAATTGCAAGCGTATTATAAATTTAGCACCGAGTCCAGTTACCCCACCTGTACCGGCTATGCCAGGAATGTGTCGTGTAACTTGCGGACACTGTTCGGACACATTTTTGGTATATTTTCGATTTGAGTGGATCCTACAGTATTGTTATTATAAATTATATTTTATAATTTCAGTTTAATACGTTTCACAATGCATTGGCGCGCTGTCCCCACTGCAGAAAAGTTTCGTCTGTAGGATCGCGTTTCGCTTGCGGACGCGGTATTTTATTCGCTATATTAGGATTGCTATTCCTTATTGCGGGCATCGGTATTACTGTTGGCACGTATAAGTATGCAAAGGTAAGATTTCAATTTACATGGTGTTAATTTTTCAGGACTATTCATTTATTTGTACATTCCAGGATCATGGTGGTATCGTTATTGCTTATATTGGCCTATTTCTGATTGCAGCCTTTTTGGGTGCACGTTCTGTTTATTATTTCCGTTTAAAAGTAAGCGCCATAGATGGCCCGATGTAAGGGTGTATTTAAATGTTTTTGTATCATTCCTTTTGATATTAACAAAACAAATCAACACAACATAAACACATTAAGCATATTAAAAAGCCAGAGGAAGATAGAATGAAAAAGCAGGTATAGATGCATAAATAAAATAAGTAGTATTTTATTACCGACAACATTCATTAATGAATAATTTTCAAAATACACCGTAAAATGCATAGTTCACCGCTCTAAATAAATATGCAATCGAATAAAAAACATTGCATTATAATTAATTATTTGAACCGGGTAAAAATGATAATATTGCATTAATGCTAACTAATTCTAACGCATGCAACACGCTGCGTTAGCATAAATGACCTAATATTTGATAAATTCCACTAATACAATACCCCTTTTGTACAACATAATCTCAGCAGTCAAAAAAGACCTAGAAAAAGTCTTACCTAATACGCGCCTCAAAATCACATATATGTAGAAATATGCTTTGTTTTATTAAAAAGCAAACACAAAAGGTAGACAACTTTTTACGTAATTAGTTCAGTTTTTTTTAATAAATTCAATTTGTTTAGATAAAGTAAGCCTTTTGCGAACCTCTGTTTAAGGGTTTACTATGTGATTGGTTCTGCTATGCTTATATATTACAATTTTATCATAAATTATCATTTTGTAACTTTTGTAATTGTTTTTGTACGTCAATGTTTTTATTCCCTGGCTGAATTACAACAAATAATGTTGATCTGCGGTGCATACGTGTGAATAGATTATAATTATTCAACACACACAAACGAAAAACGAAAAATCCCGCTTCCGTTACAATTTGTCTTAGATATAAAGTTCAACATACTTATATAAAAAATGAATACACGTGTTGATGGTCCTCACATGTATGAAGTTGTCCTGCAGCTAGTAAACGCATGTTTGTTAATTAGCCTGTAATAATTTCGGCCATTTAAGATCGAAAATAATATGTATAAATTAAAAGAAAATATAAGTGTAGAATGGTTCGCGTATAAATTCAACGGAAGCATTCAGGAGGAAATGAAGACACAGGAGAAGGCAAAAAAAAAAAAGCAAATCTGAATTATATAAACCAACATTTAATATTAACTATATGATTAAATGAAATATTATGGAACTTATACAATTATATTTAGATTATTACGATATACTGTAAATAAACGAGAAAAAACCAAAAGAACTTGTTATTTTATTTTATTTATTTATATATGTATTTTGATAACAAAATATATTAACTTATTGTAAATTTTATTGAATTTTTCTGATCACTAATTTTTAGCATGGGGTAGCGTAATGTTCAACCTTGTGATACTTTAAAATGCTGCGATTCCACTCGGAAGGAAATTATTTGAGTAATTAGATCCATTATTTTATATTTGTACTCATAAATTACTTATTTCACGACAACAATTTCAGTGCCTCCGCCAGGCGGACCAGCCTCGAGTAGCGCTTTTTTAACGTCATCAATCTTAATTTCTTTACCCTGACAAATCATGTTTAAAAAATCCAAAAATTCCTCGAAGTCTAAACGCCATTTTCTTAAAATTAAGCAATATAATAAAAAAGAAAAAAAAGCTATTTACAAATTACTTGAATTTCATATAAGCCATGCCAGTGTCGGTCATGGTGAATGCCGTTTTTAATAATTTTGCTTGATCCAACCAAAAATCTATCTGGGACAATAATATGGTTTCGTATACCTCATTTTCCAAGTCTAAGGTGTTGATATTATTGTTTGCATATAAGTGGAAGAGACTTTCGATAGTATGCTTCTTTTGCTTATTCTCATCTTCATCGGCCATGACTTATAACTGCGAATTTTGCACTGTCCGCTGGATTTGTGTATATACACGTATAAATTTGTTTCACAAACTATATGTATTGACTTTATTTTGTTAATTTTTTCCAAGACATTTGATACCTACTCGCTTGTGTCCTCATTTTTGTTTGTTATATTGCCGTTACTATGTTGCATATATGTAGTCGTTGCTTACTTAAGTATGTAAATATTTCGGTGCATATGTATATATATACGTTCGAATTTAATTTTAACTTATTATAAACGCCATTAAAGAATAATAAAATAATAAAATAATAAAAATTCACGCGCGTTTAACGGTCTCTTCCATGTTTCGTTTCCACGATTACGTAGACGGAACGCATCTGGATTTTCATCCGGCTGTCAACTCGGTAACATTTCTCTAAATTACTTAGGGCTGTTTTCTGCCACTATATCCGCAACTGTCCTTTCGAATTCGCTTCTCAATGCATACATCTGATTAAATGTTTATCTTATACAGTCGCATTAAGAAGTTAAAATTTTGTTTTGGCTTTGAGCTGCTATAGGGAGCACATATTCACCACGCTCAAAATTTCACTTTCTATTGTTAGAACTTTCAACTCAATTGCCCCACAGTAATTTTTTTTCGTGCTTACCTATATTATTCGCCACGACTGTAAACAACTGATTTTGACATTGGTCCGCGGTATCATAAACAAGTTTATTAAAAGTGTAGTTTGTTTATTGCAATGCTGTGGAATTAAAAATATTTTACAATTTTGCTAAAATGGATAGCGAACCGAAGACCGAACCAAAGGATGTGCCCGCACGCCCATTTAAATTATAAGTATTCGTGCAAAAAGTAAAAATCAGCTCAAAATAATATTTCTTTCTCTATTTTCATAACTATACGGCGCATCAAATTGTGAGTTTGACCGGCATAAGTTTCGAACGCAAAAGTATAATAGTAAGTTGCTGGCAGTCTCAAACCGGGGAAAATTTGGTTTCAATTATATATGTATATATATTTTTTAGGGTGCAGTGGAGTTAACCATAGTGCCAACCAAAGAAAATTTACGGCTTATAAGGTTGAATGCAAAGCAGTGTCGTATTTACCGCATTTTGTTAAATGATGTTTGTGAAGCTGAGTTTTTTTATTTCGATCCATTCCTGGATATCCTTCAAGGAGATGCGAAAGTGTAAGACGCCGTTTGTAAACAAAAGTACTACCATTCATAATTATTTGTAAATAAATTAATATATATTTAACAGGAGATCCTTAGATGTGTACTCCAAAAACCATCTCAGTGCTGCACAGAAAACCGATCCTGATGTCAACTGTGGTGAATTGTTGATACAGATACCACCAGAAGGATATCACATGATTCAAGAAGGTCGCGGTTTACGTATCGGCATAGAATTCTCTATGGAAGATCCACAAGGCGGTATACATTTCGTTATACCACCAACTAGTGAGGATGAACAGCAACCCAACAGTGCACATATGTTCACATACGCATACGAAAATTCAACTCGCTTATGGTTTCCTTGTGTTGATAGTTTTGCAGATCCGTGCACATGGAAACTCGAGTTCACCGTGGATAAACACTTGACAGCTGTGTCATGTGGCGAACTTGTGGAAGTGGTTATGACACCTGATTTGAGGAGAAAAACATTTCATTATTCACTCACAACGCCCGTATGTGCGCCTAATATCGCCTTGGCTGTAGGCCCATTTGAAATCTACGTAGATCCTCATATGCATGAGGTAACTCACTTTTGCCTGCCACAGCTTTTACCGCTTTTGAAAAATACCGTACGATACCTGCATGAAGCTTTCGAATTTTTCGAAGAAACTCTTTCCACACGTTACCCCTTCTCCTGCTACAAACAAGTTTTTGTAGATGAACTAGATACCGACATCAGTGCTTATGCTACTTTAAGCATAGCTTCTGTGCATCTTATGCATTCCATTGCAATTATCGATCAGACTTATATAACACGAACATTAATGTCACGCGCCATTGCCGAACAGTTTTTCGGATGTTTCATCACATCACATCATTGGTCGGACACCTGGCTAGCAAAAGGTATTGCCGAGTATTTGTGTGGCTTATATTCCAGAAAGTGTTTTGGTAATAATGAATATCGCGAATGGGTTCAATCCGAGTTGGCGCGAGTTGTGCACTATGAGGAGCGGTATGGTGGGATTATACTCGATTGCAGTCAGCCGCCGGCGCCACTGCCTGTGTCTAGTACGAATCCCGCGAGCGCCACAAGCAAGCAAACTGAAATTGTGCATTATTTTCCTATAAAAAGTTTACACACAGTTTCGCCAAAGTATGTGGAAGCAATGAGACGCAAGGCGCACTTGGTTATACGTATGCTGGAGCATCGCATCGGCCAAGAGCTGCTAATACAAGTAAGTTTTCTTCAAATTCTTAAGCACTGTAACAATACAACTAGTTTTCGTACTCGAAAAACTTTTATTATAACATATGTACTCCTATGTTCAACTAACAAGTGATTGATTTTTTGTAATTTAGGTTTTCAATAAACAGTTGGTGCTGGCAACCAATGCGGCGGTGACTAAAATCGGCTCCGGCTTATGGCATCATTTGCTAATTTCCACAAATATATTCATCAAGGCGATATTCACTGTAACGGGTAAAGATATGTCAGTCTTCATGGATCAATGGGTTCGTACCGGAGGCCATGCGAAGTTCTCCTTTACATCCGTGTTCAATCGGAAGCGTAATACTATTGAATTGGAGATACGGCAAGACTTCGTGAGCCAACGTGGCGTTCGCAAATACAACGGTCCATTGCTGGTGCAGTTACAGGAATTGGACGGCACCTTCAAGCATATGTTACAGATTGAGAATACCGTGGTGAAGGCAGATATCACTTGCCATTCGAAAAGTCGGCGAAATAAAAAGAAGAAAATTCCGCTATGTACGGGCGAAGAAGTAGATATGGATCTATCGGCAATGGAGTAAGACACGCTTAAAAAAACATAACCTAAATAATACTTTTCGTATATTTTTGTAGTGATTCGCCAGTTCTTTGGATACGTCTAGATCCGGAAATGATATTAATTAGAGATTTGAATATAGAACAACCTGACTTCCAGTGGCAATACCAGCTGCGTCATGAGCGCGATGTAACAGCACAGTTTGAGGCTATTAAAGCTCTGGAGAAATATCCCACCAACGCTACGCGCTCCGCACTTACAGATACAATTGAAAATGAGCGCTGCTTTTATAAAGTCCGTTGCGAAGCAGCACATTGTCTCACCAAAGTAGCTAATCAAATGGTGACGCAATGGAGTGGACCTCCTGCCATGTTGAATATTTTCCGAAAATTCTTTGGCTCCTTTAGTGCTCCCCATATCATCAAACAAAATAACTTTGCCAATTTTCAGTTATATTTTTTGCAAAAGGTCATACCTGTGGCAATGGCAGGTTAGTTAGTCGCATGTTCACTAATATATTTCCAACATTTTTATTATAAATTATTTTTGTAAAGGCTTACGCACGTCTCACGGTATCTGCCCACCGGAAGTTATTCGCTTTCTGCTTGATCTTTTCAAATATAATGATAACACGCGGAACCATTATTCGGATGTTTATTATCGCGCGGCTTTAGTTGACGCTTTAGGAAATTCAATTACGCCAGTTGTTTCAGTGGCACTCCGTGGAACGCCCATTACTTCTGACAGCCTCTCTGCCGATGCTAAGTAAGTCTTCGCTTTGTTTAGACTTTTATTTGTAATGGTATTTATTTGAAATATTTTAAAGGCTTGTACTTGAGGAAGTGACCCGTCTACTTAACCTAGAAAAGAACTTACCGTCATATAAGTACATGGTTTCGGTTTCATGTCTTAAGGTCATTCGTAAATTACAAAAATGTGGTCACTTGCCTTCGCTGCCGAAGATCTATCGTTGCTATGCAGCTTATGGTCAGTATTTGGATCTACGTGTAGCCGCCATGGAGTGCTTGGTAGATTTTGTTAAAGTGGATGGACGCTGGGATGATTTGGACCATTTGATTACGTTGCTCGAAACAGATCCCGACCCTGCAGCACGTCATGCGCTTGCCCAATTATTGATCGACAATCCACCATTTAGTCGCGAGTCGAGGAGCAGCCGATTGGATCGGCCAGAGCTAGTAGAGCGATTATGGGCAAATATGAAGTGAGCATAGCTACATTATTAACATTTTCTTTTTGTAAAATTAGTCAAAAACTGAACTGAACTGTGTCCGTTTTACAGCAACAAATTGGCATTCGACACCAAATTACGTTGTGACATGGTGGACTTATATTATGCATTATATGGCACGCGAAGACCAATGTGCTTGCAATCTGCTGATGTCAGCAACATGTACAAAGATATAATTAAGGAGGGCACAAAGAAAACGACGGTTCCCAACAGCAGCATAATTCCTAATAACGAACCTAACACCCCGGCAATAATAAGCGAAGTGAAAAACGAGGTGCTCGACATAGTCGAAGAGCTTACTCCTATTACTGCAGTAAAGCGCACCGCTACCGAGGCCTTTGAGGTGGGCAATGAAGTCATAAAACTGGAAACAACTGAGGAGGTGGCACTTGTTGAAGACAATGACATGAAAATGGAGTCGCTCGACAATGAGGTTAAGGTTGTTGTTAACCCAGAAGATGATGGCAACGTACATTCCCCCGAGCCAAAACGTATGAAGAGTGAAATCTTCGAGGAAGACGACAATTCCGTAACCATCATCGATGTGGGCGAGACTGCAATAATGAAAGCAGATAGCAGTTTTGAGGCCAATAAAACAGACGCCGAAAGTAGGCATAAGGCAGAGAACTCATCAAAGGTGAGTCCCGACCTAATACGTGCCGTATATATTTATATAATATTGATATGATACTTATCGAATAAATATTAACATTTTCAGCAGAAGAAAAAGAAGAAGGATAAGAAGAAGCACAAACATAAGCACAAACACAAGCACAACAAAGAAAAAGAGCGTGACAAGGAGCGTGAGCGAAAGGATAAAAAGGACCCCAACATATCACGCATACAAGCAAAAGAAGCAACGCCGGAAACTCTCAGCTCAGCGGACAGCAGCAATTCAAATAGCAATCCGCCAACACTAAACTTCACATAAATAAGCTATAATGATACAGTTTTATATTTTACATTCTACTTTTGTATCAGTAATTTACAAAAATTACACATTAAAGTATATATGTTTAGAATTTCTGCAGCATTTTCAATATAATGCGTTACATATG